GGGAGCCGGCGGGGGGTGCCAGGCTGGGCGGGGGAGGCACCCCGCATGCACCGCGCGCCTGGGGTGGGGCCACGCATGCTCCGCGTGCCCGGGGTGGGGCCGCACATGTGCTGGGTGCCCGGGGGAAGGGGGCACCGTGCGCCCAGGGGCAGGGCCATGCATGTGCCACGCACCCAGGGGCAGGCAGGGCCATGCATGTGCTGTGTGCCTGGGGGTGGGGCCACGCATGTGTCACACTCCTGGGGGCGGCGCCGTGCTCCCGGGACCCGGGGCGCACGAATGTCTCGGGCCAGCCCTGGTTGCACTCAGAGGGGGTGGGAGTGTATATTTGCACCCCCTGAGCGAGAAAGTTACAGGGAAGTACTTTGCCTCCGTTTAGAACAATGTTTCTGCTAATTTTTTCATCCTCATGCAGAATAAATTTTGTTCTGTGCACTGAGGCATAGGCGGATGTGCACCACCAGAGGAAACACAGGCTGCTGGCTGGGGGCACTCGGCTAATTGTCTGGGCAGCATTTGAATTTCTCCTGAAGGGCTGCCAATGTTCCCTGTTATTTTTTCCCCATCCACGTGTGAAATAAATTTTGTTGCGTGCACTGAGGCATGCGCGGATGTGCACCACCAATAGAAACACATGCTGCCAGCAGCTGTGGGTGCTCTGCTAATCAGCTGGGTGGCATTTGAATCTCTGTGCAGTTCTTTAGCTCTAATTTACCCTTAAATGTCTTTTAACAGCCCAGCAAGCCGTGGTAGTGTTGGTAATGCCGCTAGACAACATTGACCTCCTGTAGTCTGGGAAATGCTCTGCTTCGGCCGGATTAGAGAGGGTCAGCCTTTATAAATCGCCCTGGGAATGGGGCCGGTCCTGTGGGGTCGGGAGAACCTGTCTGGATTTGGTGGGATTGGGTTTCAGAACCTCTCATCCGGGTAAGGAGCGGGGCTGAGGGTGGCCCGGAAGAAGCTGGAGTGTCTATGGGGATGGCTTGTGTGACTTCTTGCTTGCCCATGGGGGGAACAGAAGTGTTCCTTGGGGGTGGCTTAGGGTGGAGGACCCCCAGTCTTGGGCTGTCAGTAGCCCCTGTCGCTAAGCAATTTGCTCTGATTTGACCCACTCGGCAGTGTCCTATATCACAGAAGCCCCTCCGGTGTGGGGGTGCAGTAGCTGTTCCCAGACTTCCCCAGTGTGGCTTGGGGGGGAGGGGTGGGTTCCTGTGTGGCCTAGGGGATAGGGCTCTTGCCTGGGGAGGACAGGGTCTTGGGTTCAAGTTCTGCCTCCCCCGGGTCGGGTTGGAACGGTTAAAACCGGTCAGCCCTGGGGCAGGAGGGCAGAACAGTCAAAACCGGTCAGCCCTGGGGCAGGAGGGATAAGGGGCGCCCTGACGGTAAGGGGGTGGGTCGGGTTCCCATGTAGCTTCCTTCACTGGCCACCTCTGCTCTCCGGCACAACTAGCACATAAGGGGGAGAGGAGCCAGCCGGCCCAGACCTCCAGGAAGCCTGACCACGTCTAGGACCTGGGATCTGGGGGTGAAAACTGAATCCGCCCGGAGGGAGGGATCCCGCGCCACTTGCCAAGAGGCAGCCGGAGACGCCCTGGGCTGGGCAGTGGCTGGGTTTGCCGAGTTTCCTCCCAGACTGAAGAACCAAATAAAAATACGAATAATCCAGGGGGCAGGGAAGAGGTTGACGGCTCCCAGCCACCCCAGCAAGGAGCCTGCTTGGGGTAAGTTATCATTAAAGGGACAGTGTCCTGGCTGCTGGGCCAGGCAGCCCTGGGCCAGGCAGCTACCCTACCCATCAGAGCCCATGTGAGAAAGGGCCATTAGATTCCTGGACAGGACCACGCGCCAGCTCCATGGAGGGCTCCCCCCGCCTTCTAATGGACTAGTCCACGCCAACAGCGGCCCAATGGTGTGATGCAACAGGGTGAGTGGGCGGGACGTGATGGACCGATTTGGGATCGAAAGGCCTCTCGTCCTATCATCTTTGGAGAGACCCACTCACCACCATGCGGGGGCGGGGCGAGATTCCTGGACAGGACCACGCGCCAGCTCCATGGAGGGCTCCCCCCGCCTTCTAATGGACTAGTCCACGCCAACAGCGGCCCAATGGTGTGATGCAACAGGGTGAGTGGGCGGGACGTGATGGACCGATTTGGGATCGAAAGGCCTCTCGTCCTATCATCTTTGGAGAGACCCACTCACCACCATGCGGGGGCGGGGCGTTAGCCACCCCCGTTCCTCCCCGGGCAGGATCCCGGACCCCGCCAGTGCCTTACCCGTACGAGTGGCCTATCAGGATGTTCCGCTTCTTGGCGTAGCGCTTGAAGACGGCCCGCATGTCCTCGGCCAGGGCGTAGAAGGTGTAGGCGGCCGCAATCTGCGGGGCGGAGCTGGAGCCGTGTCCCGCCAGGTCCGGGGCCACCACCTCGTAGCCCAGCTTGGCGAAGAAGTCCAGCTGTTCCTTCCAGATGTCCAGGGAGCCGCCCACGCCGTGGATGAAGAAGAGCACCACGTCACGCTGCGTCCCCTTGCAGCTGGTGATCTGCTTCTGGCAGG